CTGGGACAGCCTGAGTCTTGTGCAGCATTGCAGCCCGGCTCGGCTCGGGAGGCTTGGGGGGGGCAGAGCTTACGGTAGTGACAAGGTAAACTCAAGTAACAGGTGACAAGTAACTCAGCCTGGGCTTTATCTGTCATGGGACCCAAGTGTTGGGTGGATGTGGTTCAGACCCCGTGGGCATGGGGACAGCTGCCTGGGACAGCCTGAGTCTTGTGCAGCATTGCAGCCCGGCTCGGCTCGGGAGGCTTGAGGGGGTCAGAGCTTGTGGGGCTGAGCCAGGGGACCCAGGGCTGCATGCGGGAACCAAGGAAACATGGTCACACCGTGCCTCAACCCGTGTCCTGAGAGAGGACACAGACCGGGGTGTGCTGCAGCTGGGGACAGGAGCCCTTGCTGGCTACCCTGCTCGTGCTGGGAGCCGCCAGCTCTGCTGAGCCGAGCACTATAGTAAACCTGGGATTACCTCTGAGATGAGGAGCAGCTAAAGCACTTGAGAGCCAGGGGTTATGAGGGCATTTTGATTTACCGATGAAATGATCCCACAGATCACTTCTGCTCTTATAATCCCCCTTGGCCACCACAGGCTGCCTGCTTCAAATTCATCCCTCCTTGAGGAAGTGCAAAATCACTTCGCAAAATGACCAGATTTGCATATTTAAATGTCACAGGCTGATCCTGTCCCTGGTCAGCATGGCTCCATGCAAAGCCCAAACCTCTCTGTCCCAGCTCTCACCCTGTCCCCATAGTCCTGCTGCCCTGTCATCCAAAAGCGGTTCCTCTGGGTGCATTCCTGGGCAGTGCCTCTGTTTCCCTTGGAGGGAGGGTCTGGGAAGCTTCGTTCCTGTGGGACCGGGCAGCTTACAGCCAGGAAGCACCGGAGCCGCTGCTCCGTGGGGGCAGGAAGCTCCAGCAGACAGTCTGGCTGCTGGGGAAAGTTCAGCCCGGTGATGTCCAGCTGCTTTTGAAGAGACACACACGAAGGGGAGGAGGGAGCGTGGAGACTTGCCTCTGGTCTCTGCTGTTGGGGCCTCATCCAGCCCTTTCCTTGGGTTCTCCAAACCTGCCAGGTGCAGCCCGGGGAGCCGAGCCCTGGCCGTGCAGGCTTGCTGGAGCAGGGACAGCCAAGCTGGCTGCAGCCACAGTGCAGTGCCGTTCCCAGGGGATACCCGGCTCCCACACAGGGGCAGAGGGAGGTGGGTCCCAACACCAGCAGGCGGGGTCTGCTGGACTTGTTCATGTAGGATTTTATCCTTTCCCTTCCCCGCCCAGGTCAGCCTCTCCACTGTGGGCTACGGAGACAGCGTGCCCGACACGGTGCTCGGCAGGGTGGTGGCGTTTGGCTGCATCTCCTTTGGCATCATCCTCAACGGCATGCCCATCTCCATTCTCTACAACAAGTTTTCTGACTACTATGCCAAGCTGAAGGCTCATGAGAACAAGACCAGCCACTCGCTCAAGCTCTCCAGGAGGATCTGCTTGAAGGAGCGAGTCCTGCAGAAGCTGTCGGAGTGCTGCAGAGACGACCCTCACTGTCACCACTGACCACTGGCCCTTCACCCCCCCGAACACCCCCTCCACCATGACGCGTCCTGCCCTCCAGCCTGGCCATCCCTCCAGCAGGTCCTGTCTCCTAGGGAGGCTCCACAACTCAGGCAGCGAGTAGCAAGTCACAGCAGCGTCTGGGGGGGTCTGCTGTTGTACAGGTGCTGCTGCCAGCTCGGGCTGTTTGGAAGGATGAAACATGCCTGTGACTGTGTTGTGACCTTCCTCAATATTGCGTGCTGGACCCTGCTGTCCCGTAGAGTGGTCAGTGAAGGACCAGCTAAAGACCGCACTGTACGGCCAATGCAGGACATCTGTCTGTCGTGGTCTGGGGCATGGGGCACCCCGAGGACACAGGAAGCAAGCGGTGGGATGCATGAGGCTGAACTCCGTCACCTTTCTGAGGATGGTAGAAGTTGACACCCCTGATGAGATGAAGGCTGGTGTGACACCTGCGCAGGTGCTGCTCCGCTCCTGGGTTGAGTGGGACATACACAGGCTCCCCCTGCCAGGCAGTAGCCCAGGACCCCATGACTCCTTCCCAGCCGAGCAGACGTTCAGCCCAGGCTGAGTCCAGTGTGGGGATTTGGGTGAAGGCCCACAAAAAGGACTGCAGCCATGCGTCCTGCCAGCCAAACCCCCTTTCCTTCCCACTCCCCTGAGAGCCTGAGGACACGGTCCTGGCTCAGGATGCTGCTGCGATAGGAACTGCGGGCACCCTGGGGGCGCAGAGCTGGTAGCCAGAGCGTCCCCAGGAACAGGAATCTAATAAACCAGGCCAAAACCATTCATTGTCTTGAATTATTGGCCAGCCGCTTGGTGTAATTCAGCAAAGTGCTCTTATAGAATCATAGAATCATTAAGGTTGGAAGAGACCTCCAAGATCATCGAGTCCAACCATCAACCCAACACCACCATGCCCACTAAACCATGTCCCTAAGCGCCTCATCTACCCGTCTTTTAAATACTTCCAGGGATGGGGACTCAACCACTTCCCTGGGCAGCCTGTTCCAGTGTTTAACCACTCTTTCAGTAAAGAAATTTTTCCTCACATCCAATCTAAACCTCCCCTGGCGCAACTTGAGGCCATTTCCTCTCGTCCTTTCGCCAGTTACTTGGGAGAAGAGACCGACCCCCACCTCGCTACAGCCTCCTTTCAGGGAGTTGTAGAGAGCGATGAGGTCTCCCCTCAGCCTCCTTTTCTCCAGGCTAAACAACCCCAGCTCCCTCAGCCGCTCCTCATAAGACTTGTGCTCCAGACCCCTCACCAGCCTCGTTGCCCTTCTCTGGACACGCTCCAGCACCTCAACGTCCTTCTTGTAGTGAGGGGCCCAAAACTGAACAGAGTATTCGAGGTGCGGCCTCACCAGTGCCGAGTACAGGGGCACGATCACTTCCCTGCTCCTGCTGGCCACACTATTTCTGATACAGGCCAGGATGCCATTGGCCTTCTTGGCCACCTGGGCACACTGCCGGCTCATGTTCAGCCGGCTGTCGACCAACACCCCCAGGTCCTTTTCCGCCAGGCAGCTTTCCAGCCACTCTTCCCCCAGCCTGTAGCGCTGCATGGGGTTGTTGTGGCCGAAGTGCAGGACCCGGCACTTGGCCTTGTTGAATCTCATACAGTTGGCCTGGGCCCATCGATCCAGCCTGTCCAGGTCCCTCTACAGAGCCTTCCTACCCTCGAGCAGATCAACACGCCCACCCAACTTGGTGTCGTCTGCAAACTGACTGAGGGTGCACTCGATCCCCTCATCCAGATCATTGATAAAGATATTAAACAGAACTGGCCCCAATACTCTTAATTCGGGGGTGAGGAGGGGGAGTCTCCCCAAGGCTCACAACCACCTCTCCTGCCCATCGGTGGGAGGATGGGGCTCTCACGGGACACGGGTGAGCCTGTCTGCATATTGGTTTTGGGACGAGGTGCCTGGCCCTGGGTGCATTGGAAGAGGAGCTGGGACATCTGCATGTGCTCAGGACGCACCAGTTGGCTCTGCCCTGTGTTCACATCCCGGTGGCAGTGAGGGCAGTGGGGGACACGTCTATGGGGCACAGGGGAAGGATTTGCCCCTCCAGTGTGGGGCCGTATCTAGTCAATGAGGTCCCGGGGACATTCACCCTTCCGCTGGGTGGGATGGGGAGAGGGACCCCAGGCTGCAGGGCAGGCAGTGGTGGGGAAGGGCCAACAGCTGCTGGTGCTGCTTTCGGGTGAGCAGTGGGAGGAAACTGGTGCCTGCCAGGCCAGGGTGGGATTTGGTCACTTGCAAGCTGGGCTTGGAGATGAAGAGCTGCTGGGGAGGGGCCTGGTGTCAGCCTGGGACCATGGTTAAGCCACTGCTGTTAGAAACTGTTGGAAAGAGGCTTGGAGGGGCTGAACCCTCTGGCAGGGACAGCCACGCTCCAGCTGATTCCTGGACCGCAGGGGACAAGGGAGCTGTGCCAGCAGGTGCGAGACAGGGACCCCTGCCCTGACCCCCAGCACCTACACCCGCTCCCCGGTACCCACACTAACAGCAGCCCTCTGTACCCCTCCCCAGCACCAACCCGGCCCCACAGCCTTGGTCAGCTCTGTTTTCTACCCCATTTCTCTTCCACAAGGAACCTTCTCTCTGGGCACGGTGCAGCCTCCTCCAGCCATCTTCACCCAATACTGTCCTTCCCCACCACCCACCTGCCCCGGCAGCATCACCTCCGGGCACCTCTACAGTCCCCCTCAATCCCAGACCCTGTCACTGCATCTCCCCACGTGCCTCCATCACCTGCTCGGGGATCCCCTCCCAGCCCCCGTTGTCGGCTGGCTGATGGATCCTGAGATCATTCAGCTTCCAAGGAACGGGGGCTTAGCAACTGAACCCACCCCTGGAGACCGTGCTGCAGCTGAATCGTCATCTCTCCGCTTGCATCACCCCTCCCCGTGGCCGCAGGATTTGCTCGCCCTCAGCCAGCCCCGTCCCAGGCAGCGGTCCCACAAGCAGCCCCTCGGAGAACGGCACTTTTAATAGTTCCTCTGAATTCATTTTACAAGTCACAACAATGCAGAAATGTACAGACATTTACAGGACACTGTACAAGCAGTTTCTGTCATATATTAGTGCTTTTGCTATATACATATAGTACAGCTTGCAGGAAGCCTCTGCACAGGCAAGGAAACCTGCACCCCTGCACAGGGCACCCCAAAACGGAGCTGTTGCCCCAGGGCTGCCCAATCGCACAGGCTCATTCAGGTCGATTTAATCAGAGCTCGGCCCTGAGCCTTCCCGGGCACTACCGGGGGGGTGATCCCAACTGGG